GAACAATAAACATTCAAAATTGATGTACACGTCAAGGCAAAGTTGAGACTCGTTCCCTGCAAGTGGGACATGTATGAAGTGTTGCCAAAAGTAAGGGTCAACATTGGTAAACATTTAAACACTAGTAATGCAAGTAAAATATAATTAACAATCTATTGATTTTTTACATTCTTCTTATATTTGTACAAGAACAAACACGATTTTAAAGCATATTTTACCAGTTAAGATGTTCATAATTATTAGTCGTAGGGAAGCGCTAAACCCACAGGGGCCATACAGTGCCTATCAGACAAAAGGCAGGGTAGTATTTCCTTAGATCAAGAGCCATTCACCAGTATTAAGGCACCCCTTATAATATTGAATTTGCCCTTATTATCAGCAACACACCATAAGTCATGTGATATGCCAGCATAACATCAGAAAGGCATAAACAGTAACGATTTCTAGGTAGTAGAAATTATCACAACAGTTTATACAAACAGATATAAACCTATTTTATTCACAAATTAAAGTTGAATACATGACCTTAACCATTGCAATGTACATATGTGTGTGTGTGTGTGCGCACAAACTATTTATATTTTATATACAGTACAGTACAGTGCATTTTAAAGGAGGGGTTTGGGATATTTGCTGTTTAAAGTGACATCTAAACTGTCGTACCTGTGCACCTCTGGCAAGACAGTGATAATGTAAATTATGGTGAGTTTCTTTTTCGGGTCACTCTGCCTCGGTGGGGGATGGCCAATGTGTGAAAAATATATAGTATATATTATTTATTCATGATATATAAACAAGAATGGATGGGGTCTTGATAGGACCACAGTTCAAGTTTTCTGTTCATTCACCGACAGTCATTCAGTATAACTAGAGTTTAAACATTATATACTTTTTATACTTAATGGCCATCTCCCACTAAGGCAGGGTGACTCAAACAAAAAAACATTCACTCAATTGCCTTCTTTCCAGAAGCATGCTGACATCACAGAGTGCAAGCACTGCTCCTCCCACATCCAGCTCGCCAGTTTTCCCAGACTTCCTTCATAAGTTACCCTACTCACATTTCAACAACACATTTATTAAAAACCACTTGTCTCCATTCATTCCTATCTATCATGCTCACACAAGCCTGTTAGGGTGCTTAAGCCTCTAAAACCCTAAGGCTTTTTTTTTTTTTTTTACCCCCCTCCAACCATTCCTGGGACAACCCCCCCCTTCTACCTTCCACCCCAGATTTATACACCCTCCTCATCAACCTATCCCTGTCCATCCTCTTTACAGTACATTCTCAAACTGCCTGAACAACCCCTCCCTCAGCTGAATTATACCCTTGGTCACCCCACACTTCTACACTCCAAATTCTCTACATGTTCACACTATGCATTTCTTTCAAACATGACATCTCCACTGTCTCTTGCACTTTGCTGCAGCATTTCAAAACCCATAACTCTCGCCCATATAAAAGTGCTGGTGCATCCCCCCCCCCCCCTGCTGCCTTTTTTTTTTTTTCTTTCTTTCCAAAGATACTTTCAATGCACTACCCACCTTGTTTTGTTTCATCTATTCTACTGTTCACCTCTTTCATAGGCCCCTTTGCTGACATGTCCACTCCCAAATACTTCCTCCATATTTCAATCTGATAATTAATCCATCACTGTCTAAGCTTTGTTACCTGCATCACCTAGCTGTTTTTTTTTTTTATATTCACCTTATAATTTCCTTTTACATACCTTGCAAAATTCATCTGCAAACTTTTATAATTTGCCTTCAGAATCCATTAAAAGAACCATCATCAGCAAAGAGCAACTAGTATAACTCCCACATCCCTTCCTAACACACTAGTATTTACTTACTACACAACCACATTTCTAAGTATGTTAGACAACCATGATGACATCCCTTTACCTAAGTCGTCATCTCACTGGGCAAGTCCTCCCTCCCTCTCTCCTGAACTTTACTCTGTGCATAAAAACTAACTACTTTCAGTAATCTACCTCCTATTCAATGCATCTTCAATAACTGCCACATAGCTCTCCTATTTGCCCTATCATGTCGTTTTTCTAAATCGATCTCCCACTGAGGCAGGGTGACCTCAAAAAGAAAACACTTTCATTATTTAAAACCTTCACCTCACTCATACATGATCACTGTCTTTGCAGAGGTGCCCAAATACAACAGTTTAGAAGAATATATATATATATATATATAATATATATATATATATATATTATATATAATATAATATATATATATATATATAACACATCCTTCCAAACTGCCAATATCCCAAACCTCTTCTTTAAAGTGCAGGCATTGTACTTCCCATTTCCAGTACTCAAGTCTGGCTATACAAAATAACCGGTTTCCCTGAATCCCTTCACTAAATATTACCCTGCTCACACCCCAAAAGATTGTCAGGTCCCAAAAAACCATTTGTCCCATTCACTCCTAATACACTCGTGCAGCTTGCGGGAAAGCCCAAAAGCCCCAGCCCAAAACCCCCTTTACCCCCCTCCAAACCCCCTTCCCCCATTTCCCCCTTTCCCAACAGATTTTTTCTCCCATGTCATTCTATTTTGTCCATTCTCAAAATGCCCCAAAACCACCTCAAAAACCCCCTCTTCACCCCTCAAATTACTTTTTTTAACTCCACCTTCCCCCTAATTTCCACCTCTAAATTTTTCTGCATAATATTTAAAAACCACACATTCCCCTTTTAAGCCCAGGAATCTCCACGTTTTAAACCCCGTTCCCTCGCTACAGAAATTTAAAACCCCAAAAGCTGAAAACCCCACTTTAAAGTGTTGGTCCCAAATTTTTTTCATACATTCCTTCTTTCCCTTCCTAATAATTTTTTTTTTTTTTTTTGCCTAAAACTATACCCCCAACACACTACTAAGCCTTTTTTCCCCCCAAAAATTTTTATGTTTAAAACCTCATCCTTCATAAATTCATTTCCTAAAACCACGTCAACCCCTAAATATTAAAACATTCATTCCATACCCCTTTCCCCAATTTTGATTTAAAATTTTTTTTTTATCTAAATCTTTTGATCCCTAAATCACCTTACTCTTTTTTTTGTTCACTTAAAAACTTTCTCCCTTTAAAAACACACTCCCAAACTCATCCAAAAAACCTTTGCAATTTTTTCAGAATCCCCCGTAAGCACAGTATCTCAGAAAAAAGTAATGTTTTAAATTTTCCATTTGTATTTGTTTCCCCATTTTTTAAAATCCCCCCCCTCTCCCAAACACCCCAGCTTTTTACTTCTTTTCCCCCCCCCCACCCCTTTTTAAATATATTAAACAATTTTTGGTGCATTACACATCCCGCCCAAAGGACCTACTTTTACGGGGGAAAGTAGTCTCCCTCCCCTTCTAAAACACCCAAAACCTGAGCCTCATTTTCCCCCAAAAAATTTCTTTACAGAAATTTTTTAAACTTCCCTTTCCTTTCCATTACTTGCAAATCGCCACATTGTTTCCCCTATCCACTTTATCATATCCTTTTCAAATCATAAATGCAATGAAAACCCCCTATTTTTAAAACTTTATACGTTTCCATATATGCTTAAAAATGTAAACACTTGATCTTATAATCCCCTACCCACTCAAAAAAACCACCTTGCTTCATCCGAAATCCTAATTGCTTACCTCAAATTTTTTTTAAATTTAAATAACCCTACGGAAAAATTTTTCCTGGTATGCTCAGTAAATAATTCCTTTTAAAATTTTTTTACAATCTTTTTTTGTCCCCCTTCCCTATATAAAGGAACTATACATGATCTCTCCCAAATTTGTGGGGTACCTTCCCCCTTTAAATACTTTATTAAACAAAAAAAACCGACCATTTCTACCCTTTATATCCCTGTATAGTTTTATGGTTAGGGGGCTTTTTTTGATTAAAAATTAATAATTTTGCACTATATCCCCCCCTCTTTTAACATTTCTGTCATGATCCCATCATTCCAGCTGCTTTACCCCCTTTCTTTTCTCCCGTTATGTTGGGCGAAACCTCCCCCCACACCCCGATCCTGCTCTTTTCACTCCTAAAAGTTTGGAAAAACCTCCCGGCCAATGACACCACAAAAGGGTTTTTCCCTTTGGGATTGTTAAATCTTAAGGAAATTAAATTACTAACGTTGCTTAGGGGGTGTTACTGTGGGGAAAAGCAACCCCAAAGTTTGGCGGGGGCAACAGTTTTGGGAGCACTAAAAATGAAATACTCAACCCATAGATTTGGCATATGAAAAGGAGACTTAAGAGGAGACTTCAAATAAAAATAGGTTTATTCCCCGGTAAGTAGGGCAGTAAAAGTGTGGTATTTTGAAAACCAAATAAAAAGTACTTATATTGAGCCAACATGTTTTATCCAGGCCCTCACGACCCGCCCCGCTAAATGTTTACGACCAAAACTCGCATTAAAAAAGGAGAAAAAGATTAGCCATAGCCAATAAAATAAAGAAATAAGGTGAACCCTGTAAAACTGCACTCATGGCTCCTTGGCTTCCAAAAATTTTTTTTTTGTTTGCACCATTATTTGGGAAATTTTTAAAATTTGTCATTTCCCGGAATATAATCCCTCCAAATTTTCAAAGTTTATGTGTACCCGAAATACCAAAAAAACAAAGGGGAAATTTAAAAACCATCCAAAAAAATACACAGCAAAAAAAGTAAAACTAGATGAAACAAAGCAGCCCAAACATTTTTAAAATAACTTTCAAAAATTAGATTTAATTTTTGAGGCCCAAGAATGAAAGGGCTGGGGTGCAAAATTTTCGAAATATTCTGACAGGTTTAAAAATTTTAAACCCTGTTAAAACGAAAAAGTTATGCCATTGCCTGACTACATCACCCCGGGAGGAACACCCCATCTTAAGTTTCTGAAATCCCAAAAGCCCGCTAAAATTTTCCCGTCCCAAAAATTCATATTCATATTTTTTTTACAAATCAGGTACCCAAATTTTTTTAAAAAAATTGCCACAGTTTTTTAAAAAAAAAATTCCCCAAAACAAGAAAAATAATATGGTCTACTAGAAAATAGAACTAATGGTCATGTCTTTGTTGCAAAATGAACCAAGATTGCCATTTTAAATTTTGGTTAACCTTCTCAACCCAAGTTAGTGAGGCTTTATTTATTTCTATCATAGACTTAATGAATAAAAGTTAAAATATAAAGTGTGAAACCAAGCTCGCAAAATGGAAATAAATTCCTGACATTGTTTTGGCTTGTTCTGGAATATTACTAAGTATAACCTTGTCTGTTTCTTCTTGAATCATATTAAATTCAGGGAAAAAAAAGCTATGTAAAACCCTAAAGGATCAAAGAGGTAATTAGATTTGATCAGTGGAAGGGAAAGATAACTCCAGTTCCTTTAATCAAGAGCCCTCTGATTGAAGGGTGAAACACGTAGCATATAATGCCCGTTACTAAACTCGGCAGCTATTTCTATGAATAACCCAAAATAATCCAGTGTTAATTACATCAGTCACCCCTAAATTTCATGAACTAATTCTTACACTGGACTCAAATATTCTTAAATATTCAACACCTTTCAGATTCTCTCTACGATTCTTTTGCCTACCACTGCATACTGCATTATGTACTTCTCACATATGCTTTCATTCTAATTTGTTTTCACTCATTTGTTGCAGTATATAATGATAGCTTTAGTGTTACAGTATATAATCCGATAGCTCTATTGTTGCAGTATACATGTGAGGAAAATGAAGGTGGGCAACAAATAATTTCCCTCTTGCACGCGCACACACACTACACTGAATGTGTGCTTAATTTTCTCTATTAATGTTTTTCCTCAATTTTTTTTTTCAACAAACTAGCCATATCCCACCAAGGCAACCTACAAAGAAAAATGAAAATTTTTCTTTTTAGGTCACATACATACATATACACATTTTACATATGTAAAATATTCATTGAATGGGGATAAACTCAAAATCTACACTGGAAATCTTCCAAACAACCTTCAGATTTATAGATGCTGATAAATAGTATCATAGGTTAATGACTTGCATCTTTTTTTTTTTCCTTGTAGCCCTTCACATATTCCCCCTCCCATCAGTTATCCTGTAATCTTTCTCACATTTCCCCCATACCTAATTTATTGTAATCTTCACATACCTGCATATCCTTTTTGTCTTGTAATCTCGCATATACCTATTCATACCTTTTTTCACCCACATACTGACCCCTACTTACACCTAATTTTGTCTCGCATGCCTCCCTCCCCCTCAATCTACTTTTCTATGTCCAAGATGATAAGTAATGGAAGAGCTTCTGTCAGACTGTTTGCAGCCACCATACAAAATTACAAAATCAGTCAGGTATGAGATTCCTTAGGCTGAGAAGGCTAAATTATTCAATATGAATTTATTAATTTATATTATGGGATTAGAGTCTGTTAATATACTGCTAATTTTATAACTGAATTTGTTAAAATCAATAATTGTGTTAGATGATTTTATTTTATATGAAAATAGTGAAAGATGACCACTAACACAAGTGAAAAATATATTTTATTTTCCTAACTCAATTAGATATATAATGTGTCTACCTTTAATTGAAAAGTATATACTGTTCTAATTTATTGTCCAAAATCGAGAATGAAGATTCTATCAACTAGAAATTGGGAATATTGCAATTTATATAGCATTTGGAGAGGCTTATGTTATATAATAGGCAGAACACTTCAACAAACTCCAAGATTTCATAAAAGATATACAGTTTTTACATATCAATATGCAGACATGAGATCAACTATAAAGAAAAAAAGAAAATACTCTGAACATTCAATATGTACAATAAGAATATAAAAATCACTAAAATAGAATTTGTCACAAACAAAAAATATCTACAAATGAAGGATGTCTTAAAAAAAATGTATAAAATATTCAGTTCAACACTGATTGGCACAGTTACTCTGGAGATTCTCTTTCTTCTGGGGCATCCAGTTCATCTGAAGCTGCAAAGAAAATGTCAAATGTCAATATAAATTAGTATATCAAAGTTGGTTGGCTGGCAAAAAGTGCCAACAACTAAGACAAACTCACAAATAACCTATACATTCAAGAAGAAACTCTTGATATTTCAGTCAGTCCTAAACCATTATTGAGAGACTTACAGTGGTTCAGGAGAGATTAAAGCATTGTCAAGAGTTTCTTCTTGAAAGTGAGAATTATTTGTGAACTATTCTAACCACAATGTTGTGACTTTTGGTCTTCAAGGACAGGGGCAGTAGGAAGAGAATGAGTGATGCTTAATACCTCCCATTTCCCTGGGTGCTGTATAACCCCCTATGGGCTTAACACTCCCCATGAGTATAATAATTAAACCCATAAAGGTCATGCCTTGCACTACCATAAAGGTACTTCTCTTAAAGGATATGATGAAGATAGAGAAAAGAATGAATGCAATAAAAAATATGAAATTGCCCTTTGTACTAATGTAGGAACAGGAGTGTAATCCAAAATCCAGCCTGTCTTCTAAGAAAGCCTGTAAATGGTTACCTGTTTTCTCAATCTAAGGTAGATTTTGAATTTGGAATTATTATATGCATGAGAACTTGTCGCAGCCGGCTGAACCTTCTTAAAACCCTTGCTCATCTTTCATGGGGAGCTGATTGTCGAACCCTCCTTCGCCTACATTCCACCCTCATTTTATCGAAACTTGATTATGGTGACCAGATCTATTCAGTGGCATCTCCTGCTACTCTCTCTAGCCTTAACCCCATTCATCACCAAGGATTACGTTTATGCTTTGGTGCTTTTCGCTCTTCCTCTGTTGAGAGCCTCTATGCAGAAACAAACGTTCCATCCTTATCCGATCACCATGATGCCCACTGCCTTCGCTATTATGTACGCTCTCATGATCTCCGCAATCCTTCCATTTATAGAATGGTCACTGATATTAGTAGACATTCATTATTTGTTCGCCGCCCCTGTTTACTCCGCCCCTTCTCTCTTCGCCTTCATTCGCTCTCGTCTTCTCTTCAATTACCACCTTTCTATGTTCATGTAGCATCTCACTTTTCCCTACCCCCCCTGGGAAGTTCCAGCTGTTCGAGTCTCTTCTTTCTCTCTCCCTTGCTCGAAAGCCCAACTGTCTACGGTCGCTTCCCGCTCTCTTTTTCTTGACCACTTCCACTCTCATTCTCATGCCATTGCTGAGTACACAGATGGCTCTAAGTCTTCTGATGGCATAGGATTCGCAGCATTGTTTCCAGACAGCGTCGTACGAGGGCATTTACTATCTTCGGCTAGTATTTTTACTGCTGAATTGTATGCCACCCTTGCAGCACTTATCCGTATTGCATCTATGCCTGTGTCATCATTTGTGGTTGTCTCAGACTCCCTTAGTGCTTTACAGGCTATACAGAAATTTGATACACCTCACCCCTTAGTCCTCCGTATCCAACTTTGGCTACGCCGCATCTTTACCCAGCATAAAGATATTGCTTTTTGTTGGGTCCCTGGTCATGTTGACGCACAGGGCAATGAACAGGCAGACACTGCTGCACGGTCAGCAGTACATGACCTACCAGTTTCATACAGAGGTATTCCATTTACGGACTATTTTGCTGCAATATCTTCCCACCTTCACACCCGTTGGCAACAACGTTGGTCTACTATGCTCGGTAACAAACTTCAATCTATTAAACCGAGTATAGGTTACTGGCCGTCTTCTTATCACCAGTGTTGAGGTTGGGAGACTACTCTCTCCCGTCTCCGCATTGGCCATACTCGCCTTACTCATGGATATCTCACGGAGGGGCGCCCTGCTCCTCTGTGAGAATTGCCAGGCTCCATTATCAGTCAGCCACATTCTGTAGGACTGCCCACTTTATCAACGAGCACGCAGAATTTACCTCCGTCATCGTCTTCGCTCCGCTGCTCTCTCTTTACCTTCCCTTCTCGCTGATAGACCCACCTTTCATCCGGACTCTCTCATTGACTTTTTGACAACAACTGACTTACTTCACAAATTCTGATACCTTCAGCCCTTTCTACCTCAATCTCTTGCTACCCTCTACCCCCGTACTATCCCCTGCCCCTCTGTTTTCTGTAATCTACTGATCATCCCTCCTCCCGCCCAATACCCTCACTTCCTTCCCTACCCTGCAGCGCTGTATAGCCCTAGTGGCTTAGCGCTTCTTTTTTATTATAATAATAATAATATATGCATGAGAAATACTACAGTAAACAATAATAAACATGTGTAAAGTAAAAGGACACAAGTGCAATTAATGTGACATTTATTGTGGCAACGTTTCGCTCTCCAGGAGCTTTATCAAGCCATGTAATGGCTTGATAAAGCTCCTGGAGAGCGAAACGTTGCCACAATAAATGTCACATTAGTTGCACTTGTGTCCTTTTACTTTACATATTGTCGGTAATTCTACCAACTTTATTACAATAAACATGTGAGCACTCAATTAGGACTGACTTGCCATGGGTTCGAACTCTGCCAATTCCCAGAGAAATGTTACACCTGAGCATTTTCACACAATCTCCATTTACACACACACACATCTTCATAGCAACTTGTTTCTCCAAAGTTGTGTGTAAACACATGAAAGCTCTCAGATTTTTGTGCTATTATTTCTTGCAGATATCTTTTTTATGTGTAATCATGCAGTTCATAGTAATGTCTTTTGCATTATATAAATAAGTGGCAACCCAGAATCCCTCTCCTTCCCTCCCTCACTGCCATGGTCAATGAATGCACAGCTAAAAGTAGAGAATCAGTTAAGCAAGCTATCAGGTAAAAATAATTTAGGTAGAGCAATATAGGCACTAAATATAAGAAATTATTATAAAAGGAAATGCTACTTTAATAAATATTAAGTCAAATAAATGAATAATAAAATGAACTTGGTTTAAATAGCAACACAGTGCACAAGTCCAAAAATGTTGCAGTCCCCAAGCCAAGGCATCAAACGTATCTGCAAAGGTAGATTGCATTATCACTGTCAAGTGAAGAACACGGTGGAGGGAGAGGGAAAATTGCCACTGAATAAGCACGAGAGATAAGGCAGACAAATGGAAAGCATTCCTACCACAAAAAGCAAATATTATAATCTACATAAAAGTATAAATAATGGAAACAAAAATAAATGGTAACACATCAAACACCTGCTGCAGATTCCCAACCTGAGGAGCATGAGAACTTTCATACTAGTAGTGAGGGTGTAGTTCAGGACTGTCCAACTAGTTGCCCACTGGTGGTCAAGCTGCAGCCAGTGCATGACTTTCTATATTATGAAGAAAAATAATTATAAAAATATATATTTAAATGTATAAAAGATTTTTTTTTGACTGGAATTTTCTTGCCATATTACTGGTATATTCGCAAACAAGTGTTAAACTTGTATGGGTCATACAGCCTATTGCCTCAATTAAATTGTTATGACAATCATTTATTTTCAAGCCCAAAAACTGGAAATTAAGATGACTGATTTTTCAGTTGCAAGTATACATCCTTCCCTTTGGCTTCACTATATATAACTCTTTCTCTCTGGCCTAATGACTCTTCCAACCCTTTATTGCTGTTAATCTAACTCCCTACTTTCTTTCCCTGTGCTTTGTATCTGTTTCCTTCAAGGAAGGTGTTCTCATGCTAGTGAGAAGCTCTTGATCTAAGGAAGTGAACTAGTCCTCCCCTCTCCTCAAAACAACTCAACTGCCTCCCATTCCCCATGTGCTGTATGAACCCTTTAATGTTTAGCACATCTCCCTTATTATAATAATTTATGTTAACTGCTCTATAGCTGCATTTTCATTCTCTGCTTACTGCAAGTCTAGGTGTAGTGGCATGTACAGAATATTCTTATCACTTTCCCCTAATATGCACAGCCTGTCAGATTATCTTGTTTCTCTCATTTTCAATGTTCTCTGCATCTGTGATCATCAGTTACATGGTTATGAAATTTCTTTTCATGGACTTCATAACGTTCCACTGGCTATTCCCCTACTCTCATAAAAGCAGTCAACTCTCATGCTAAATGAATTATTTTCTCTCCTAAACCTGCTTCTTCAGTGAAAACCACTGTACTTTGTCCTCCTGATGTTTCTAATTCACAGAGTCAACATTATTTGCCCTTATTATTATTATTATTATTATTATTATTATTTACATTCACTGGAGAGATTGCTAAACTAGTACATGCCTGGTGTAACAGGAAACAATCCCATTTGATCCAAGAAAGAGGTGATGGTCAATTCCATGAATCAAGAGGTCCTCACCATCAAGGAACCTTCCTTGAGGGAGCCCCTTATAATATTAAGCCTGCATTTCCTCAAGCTAATACACTTTAAATCACTAATACAGTGGTACCCCGAGTTTTGTACAGCTCCCAACTTGAACAATTGTGTAAGTGCATTATTGTAAGTGTATTTTTGGGGTCTGAAACAGACTAATCTAATTAACGTTATTCCTTGTGGGAACAAATTCATTCTGTAACAGCACTCAAACAGCCTTCTGGAATGAATTATGGCCGAAACTCGGGGTACCACTGTACTTTGAGTATTGACTGTATTTCCTTCTCTACTTTTCCTTAGTGGAAATGCATGCTTCCTTTTCCAACCAGTTTAAATAGCACAAGAGAAGTGTCCCCTTTGTCAAACCTAACACTATTTTCTGCATGATAGTGATTATATCCGTTTCCTAAGCTGGCTAGCTTCCAAAACTATTTTTCCTTCCTCAAGCTTTCACACATAGTTTTCCTGAACTGACCCTAATACTGTGCACAACATGCCTATCATACATACCTCTCTCACTATACAGTCAAATGCTCAAAGGTAACTACAGTTAGGTAGCATATCTGTCTCTAGATTAGATAAGCAAACAGATGATAAAGCCTACACAACTCCTTGCACTGAATGCCCATGGTTTAGCACCGTGTATTAATATACAAATACTTCTCAACACAGACTGCATCGACATTATTACTGGTTATCACCTGGT